TTTTCCGCGCACATTTTTCTAAAATAAATTGATATATTTTAAAACAATCAGAGTTCATTTATTGTGTTAATATCTGCTTTCTCACTCACTTAGTAGTTTTTCCAATCTCTCTTATTCGAAACATTAATCTCTAACACTCGTACAATTGTATTCACTTACCCGTTCACACTTACACGTTCGCGATCCCTCTGCAGCGCATCGCGAGAGGAATTCGCAAAATCTGCGATTTGTTAGAAATCGCGATGACCCCCTTTTCCCCGTAAACCGCGTTAGCGCCCGCGAACGTTCGCTCTTCCTCCCACACCGCAAGAAGAATTCGCAGGATCGGCGATTTTTGCAGGAGCCCCTCTACCCCGTAAACAGCGTTAGGGCCCGCGTACGCCCCTCTCCCCGGACACTACGAAGGTCGCACATGAGCGCGTCGCCCCTCGCTGCACATCCCGCGCGCCAACGTATGCCCTCGCGATCACGCTCCCCCTGAGAACTCGCGGGCCGGCCCCTATACCCTACTATTGTTCTAAGTAGACTCGTTTCAATCAGTAATTAAGTTCGAGTGAAAAGAAAGGAAAGTATATAACCCGTTAATTATTCGGAAGATACGTCGAGACGAAACATGATTCAGTATCTACGCTTATTTTCCAAATAATATGTTCCCGTATATCAAATAAAGCGAGAAACAATGAACTTATAGTTTGTAATAAAAAAGGAAACGTATATATACTTAACGATAGCCTTCAAAAGTATTTCCTAATCTTCGTTAAATAAAATATACGTTCTTACAGTGATAATAATGCAAGTCAGTAGGAATTCTGTGTGACCTCATATTTCTTTGTAGATCGTATAATAAATATTTATATATATTATCAGAATATTGTGTACTTGTAAACACAAGTAAAAATAACAACTAAAAATGGACATGACTGTTGCTTATCAGATACTTTTTTGTATACTTAATGATACATTTTAATTATAATCTTTTACTCTTTCGCATACATATATATGTTCAGTTTTCGCCCTCGCTTCGCAGTCTGTAATTTGCAGGATTCAGGTACGGCACTTTTATAATTCCCTCACTTCTATCGTGTATAAGAAATTGCCAGGTCAGATCGCAGATCAGTCTCTTTCCGCGTCCTTTTATTTAGTTTTATCGTATTCAGAATGTGCTGTGATGAATGAATTTTTTCGCATCGAAACGGATAATGATACGCGCGATAGATGAATCACATCTTTGTGACTGGCGCTTAAAGATGAAATACATTTGTAACGATAAAGAGAACTGGAAACGGTTATTACGGTTTCATCTTTGAACAGATCATGTTGTAACGCCAATGTTAATCCATAGATAAACGGTTTCTTCTATCTGACATACTCATTACTGCTATTGTTTGCGCGCAATTCTTAGAATGAAAGATCTGATCATCACGTTCTCGTCCCTGTGGCTGATCTCTCATGCGGCTTCGGACGTGATCTCAGACATAATGCTCAATACCATCCCCATCTCTATTTCCGATGTGTTTGAAGGGACCGATCAAAAGAACGACAATTTCAATACAGTAAGTCTAATTACGAATCTTTTATTTTGTGCGTCAAACGAACGTGCGAAGAAGAATCGACAAAATTGTCTGAATCGCGTTTATCATAGTATCATAACTCCATTTAGCGGATTACCACGTATCTCATCGTACTAATAAATTGCTCGATACCTAATTAAACTGCGAGACCTCCGGAAGAGGAAATACGATTTTTTCAGTTAAAACCGTATATGCCTTTTACATTATTCTCAGCGTTAAAATAATATTGTTTGTGAAATCTTGTAATTATGATCGTATGTATAACTTCTCTATATCATCGTGTACAAGAACTCTTTTTTCCCTGTTAGTAAACTTACCGAGTACATTATGCTCCATGAATTATTAAGTGAAATTATACGTATGCCCCCTTATTGTTAACTCAATATGTGAGATTTATTTATCTGATGCGCGTGACTAATGCGTGGAAAAATTGTACCGGTGATGGAGTTTTTCCATGGTACGATTTCAATGTTCAAGGACAAATGTTTTGGTACGTGAAATAATTCATCGTCGATCGAAGACTAACCCGTGATTTCTTCGATTGTAGTTACAAATAATACAAAGTCAGGGTTACCCGGCCGAGGCACACACTGTGACGACGGAGGATGGTTACATCTTGACGATGCACCGTATCCCTGGGAAACCAGGATCCCCAGCAGTCTTTTTAGGAAACTGTTTATTCGGTAGCTCTGCGGATTTTCTCATCGTTAACAAAAGCCAGTCGTTAGGTACTTATTCGAATGCTTCTTTTATCTCTATAGAACTTGATAAATAAGTTCTCCTTCTTGTCACTCAGCTTTCATGCTGGCCGACCAAGGTTACGATGTGTGGTTCGGGAACTATCGGGGGAACACTTATTCGAGGGCTCACGTTAATCTGACCACCAACGATAGAAGATTTTGGGACTTCAGGTACTTGTGACAAATAAGTACGTGAGACGTATATTAATTAATAAGATACTTGTTTGTTCAGTTGGCACGAATCAGGCATTTACGATCTACCGGCGATGATCACTTATATCGTGGAAACGAAACAAAACTTGTTGAGGGCCTACATCGGATTCTCGTTGAGTACAACAACTTTCTTTGTCCTATCTAGCGAGCGACCGGAGATAGCACGACTGGTGCAATCGGCGTACCACTTAGCCCCGATTGCGTATCTGAAATATCAGCAATCTCCCGTACTCCGATTTTTAGCCTCTATCGAAGAAACCTTGAAGGTAAAGAATAGATTAATTTTATTGACAAATCCGGTTCACTGGATTCTATGGTTTCGATTCTAATCAAACGTTATCTCGATCCTTAGAAATTAATTGATGACGTCTCACATGGCGAGATACTACAGAACGATGTTCTTGTTAAGATTTTAGCGAAATACTTCTGTTATTCCAATACTCTGGAAGAAAAATTTTGCTCTAATCTGATGTTCCTTGTGGTCGGATTCGACAATACGGAATTTGATTACGTGAGTACACCGGGATGTGCAAACTACATTAGCGATTTTCCGTTTAAGCAGTTTTTAATTACTTACGCAAATCTTTCATTATCGTAGCAATTAATGCCTAAGTTCTTGAACCACTTACCGGCCGGTGCATCTATCAAGCAACTCGTGCATTACGGCCAGTTGATTAACTCCGGAGACTTTAGACAATACGACTACGGTAAAGACAAAAATTTGAAGATTTACAATAGCATCGAACCACCGAAGTATAATATATCGAGGATCATAACACCGATCGCCATGTTCTGGGGCGAGAACGACTGGCTTTCTGACCGTACAGTCTGTATTTCGATTTAAATATGTTTCCAGATATGTTCGCCTCGATTTGATTGTCGTTTATCTTCGTTTTAGGACGTCATGAGATTCGTTAACGAGCTACCTAGTAAACCAATTTTCTACAAAGTGCCACACAAGAAATTTAATCACCTTGACTTTTTGGTGGCTAGGGACGTTCGCAAACTGGTCTACGATAAATTAATTGATATATTAACTAACAATCAGTTAAACTTACACTTAGAGACTTAAGCAAGTCTTAAACATTAGAGTAATTAAGAGGCTGTATTTATCTAATGAAAAATATAATGAGCATCACAAACTCCCATTCTAATTCCATTCGCCATCGAATTTCGATTACTCCCGTTAAAGTGAATCGAAGTAAATTGAGAAGAGAGGATTCCGCCGAAATGGTGAAAACGTCCGTAGAACCTTCTCGCTCCGATATTCCTGATTCTTTGTACGGAATACCTCCAACGTTCGCGTGAATAATATGGCCAGCCGATCAGACCGATGGTGCATTTTGAATATTAACCCAAATTAGGTATTTATTCTCCACCGGTGTTACGTAAAATGTATTGATGTCATAATCTACGAATCGGCCCAGAAAGCCATCGCCTACTTGGTGGAAATTTCAGACAAATTTCTATTGCGACAAAATATTCGATCGATCGTAAGGAATAACAAACCAATTTCGTAACAATGTTCTATCTGCCTATTCATTGAACCCCGTATACGCTTTCATTATCATTCGAATCGGACGTACCGTTTCTTCGTAAAAACAAGACCGACACGAAATACCGTCTGTGGAAGGTGCGGTCATGTCGTCAAGGTATTCTCATGGTGTTTAGAGACATTCTGTGAATCAGTGCCGATAGATTTTGTTAATGATTGTTTAATGGAAAAACATCGGTGGCATCCGAGGGTATATATTCCAAGGATGTGAATCCACATACACGATTCATATTTTGTTATGCGCGGCTGGATAAAAAAAGATCCTCGTTACATTACAGGCAGTAAAAAACGGAATGTCCCGTTTGCAATCGGGTTCCCAGATCGAATAAACGGTTAACGGTACTCGTTAGGGACGGGGAAATACGTCTACCGGCCTTGGTGAAAAGGCAAGGTTTTTTCTCGAGAAAGCCGGGGGTATGTATTTTCTGGATGTTTTCCAGGCCAAAAACCATAAAATTCCTCGAACAATTTCTCGATCGATTTGTTCCGTTCAGAGAGATCTCTTTACGGTCACCCGAGATGCGTAAGAGGTCACAAAACGCTTACGTAAGATGGTGTTTGGAAGGGCATCTCTCACTTGTTGTAATGTTTTTATGCATTGTTTCCTTCATACTATTTTTAATTACATTTGTGTATCGGTGCACCTCTTGTTCTAGTTCCTCTGTTTGTAATTTTGGTAGTTTGATGTTTGTGTCAAGTATTTGTCTGAAATTTTTCCAGTCTGCTCTATCATAGTCAAATGCTGATTTGTTATTTGAAGTTTGGATCTGAGAGTCCAAGGTACATATTATAAGATTATGATCTGATGACAATTCACTTAAAACTTGCATTTGCGATACGTTTGTTACAGTTTTGTTCAAGGCTATATCTATTGTAGAAGGTGATGAACCATTTTCAGGGTAATGAGTAGATTCATTCGGATACATGACGCTACAACTATTATTGAGTAAATAATTGTACAAGATTCTACCCCTCGCGTTGCCTCCACGGCAGTTCACTGCCCTATGGTGAACATTCAAGTCCCCAACCAATATAACCTTAGCGTCTATATTTAATAGTGTATCTAACTCTTTGGTATCGTAAATTATCCTAGGATTATTATACA